AAAGACGGTCGCCAAGACCAATAATAAACAATAGAAATTTCCGGTCATCACATTACCCACGCCTCCGCCCAATGCGTCCCGCATTGCAGCAATGAAAACAAAAGTTGGATGAAAATAACAAAATAAATAAATCACAGTTAAATCACAGATGAGTTGAATCACAATTCATTAAAATGAGTTCTATCTTTGCACTACAGCCTCTTCACTCGCAACAACTCCATCGCCTCCTGGTATTCCTTCACATTAGTCTCCCATTCCTCCTCAATTACCACTCTCCTTACTTTACCACCCTCCAGTTTCTCTTCCGTTGTCGTAATCCTCTTCACTTTACCCACTAACCTCTCCGTCTCTCGGGGCTTCTCTGCTGGCATACTCTCACCCTCAACTTGCGGTTCACCTTGTTCAATTACGTCCCCCTCTTCTTCCGAACTGACGTCTGAATACAACGAAAAATTTAACTTTGGTTCATCCCCGTAATCGCTGGTCCTTTCCTGTACGGTGACCCTATTTATGTTGAGACGCAATGGGGACACCACGAACGAGCGATTTCGACTTACTGTACACTCATTCTTCTTGACCACTACGGACTGAACTACATTTTCCTGGTTCACACTTCTCTTTTTTTTCAATCTCCAGCTTACTTAGTTTGTGGGATTTGCTAGCGCAATACCTGTCGTATTTGGACTTTGTCTTGAACTGGGCATCTTTACAAAGGAGGCAAGTGAACGGTCTCGGGGTCGAAGAGGATGCCATGTTACCTGTAGATAAAGAAACGGACATCAAGTAAGCGTCAAGATACGAGGGTCTTACAACCTTCCTACCACGCCTGGTCATGTGCGTTGCAAAACCTTGGATGTACAGATCGTCATTGTCGTCGTCCTCTATGCCGGCCTCACAAACCACGGCGTCCTCGTCACTATCGCTATCACACTCATGTAATCGTTGCGTAAATTTACGAAGTCGGTCAACGTGAACCACTTGTTTACGATGACTCTGATCATCCTCAATTTCATAATTGATGTCGGTCACCCTCCGAAGTACGGTGTAGGGTCCGCGCCAATGTTTGGCAAACTTATTAGGTATTCCTGCCGTCACAGTTGGGGTAAACAACCACACTTTATCCCCGGGAGAAAGTCTTTCCATACCGATCCGGTGATCGTAATAGTTTTTCTGGCGTTTTGTTTCACTTTGGAGGTGATGTCTAACAAAATCGTGACACTGAATGAGACGATCACTTAATACCGTATTCCACGACTTCTGATCACATTTCCACTGTGGAGGCCTACCAAATTGCAAGTCTAGAGGAGTATTAAACTCTCTCCCAAACATAGCAAAATTTGGCGTCACACCAGAACTTACATGCTTACTTGATCGGTATGCGAACATAACATACCGAAGATATTGATCCCACTCATCACCCTTTTCACGTACAAATGATGACAACATTCCTTTAATTGTCCTATTATTCCGTTCGACTTGTCCATTTGATTGAGGTCGGTAAGGCGTCGTACGTGTTTTATGAATACCTAGCAGACTACACATCTCCTGAAATAGGGAACTTTCAAACTGCTTCCCCTGGTCACTGTGTATCTGGCGCGGAATACCAAACCAAAGCAAAAACTTTTCTACCAGGACCTTTGCCACCGTTTGGGATTCAATATTCATAATTGGAAAAGCATCTGCAAATTTCGTAAAGTAATCGCACACGACCAATATGTATCTGTTTCCTTTCTGGATCAATAGCTATGCGCTCAAAAGGCGACCCAGCCGCGAAAGAGCTTATGGGTGCTTTCCTCTTTCTCAGTTTAATGGATGCACATTCTTTACACGAATGTATATAATTTTGTACATCACTCTTAAGCCCAGGCCAGTAATAGGCTTGCTTAATCTTTTCTGTGGTTTAACTTATACCGAGATGTGCTCCGGTTGGAAGATCATGCATAAATCTTAGGACTTCGTCCTGTTTAGAATTGGGCACTACAGCGCGACTAACCTCCATATCACCCAGTTTACTCTGTTTCAGGTATAGCATACCGTCTGATAACTGCAAAGGGTCCCATTTAGTTAAAATTTTCTTCACAAAAGGGCTTTGTGGAGACACTTCCTCCCATTTAGGTTTCGCGTCATTCTCACTTATTTCTGGATCAGTCTCCTGCATTTGTTTCATGCCACTTGTATCAATGTCAATAAGATTAAGCTGGTGCTGGTGTTCCCATCTACACTTCACACAAGGTTTACGGCTCAACGCATCTGCGTTAGAGTGTACCCTTCCAGCGCGATGTAGAATGTCAAAGTCATAGGCAGAGAGTTGCTCAATCCATCGAGCGACTTGCCCTTCAGGGTTTTTGAAGTTTAGAAGTCATCTTAGGGCACCGTGATCAGTGCGAATAAGGAATTTGTGGCCATAGAGATAAGACCGGAAATATTTAACGAAATAAACAACCGCGAGTAACTCCCGTCGGGTAACACAGTAATTACGCTCGGACTTGGATAGCGCCTTACTACCATATGCAATAACACGTTCCACGTCATCATGCACCTGGGAAATCACATGCACCTGGGAAATCACAGCTCCCATTCCATATCCATTCGCGTCAGTATCAAGTATGAACGTTTTAGAAGGGTCTGGATACGCTAAAATAGGGCTTTCTGTTAATTATCTTTTTAAATTTCTGAAAGACTCGTCACACTCTTTGGTCCAAACAAATTGTTTCCCTTTTTCCGTCAGCTTAATTAAAGGTTTGGCAATCTCTGAAAAATGCTCTATAAACCTCCGGTAATAACTGCAAAGCCCCACAAAGCTACGGACTTCGGTTAAATTCTGAGGAACAGGACAGTTCTGGACACACTATATCTTGGATGGGTCTGTTGAAATGCCACCCGCGGAAACTACATGGCCCAGATATTGGACTTCATCGCGAAAAAGGTTACACTTGCTGGCCTTTAACTTAAGCCCGGCCGGCCTAAGTCGATTGAGAACAACTTCTATCCTGTCGAGATGTTCATCAAAGTTTCTCGAATAAATAATAATATCATCAAGGTAGTTTAGGTACACCAGGCACACTTTCCATTCTCCATCAGACGTTCAGATGTCCAGGGAGCGTTGCATAGCCCAAAAGGCATCACAGTAAACTGGTATAGTCCTTTAAAAGTCGTGAACGCGGTTTTAGGTTTGTCATTAGCGTCCATTTCCACCTACCAGTATCCACTTGCCAGATTCATTGTGGATAGTCACTGAACTCCGGACAAGGAATCTAACGTTTCGTATACGGGGAAGGGGATATGCGTCTTTCACGGTAATTTCGTTTAGCTTGCGGTAATCTTCACAAAATCGCAAGTCTCCGGTTTCTTCCGCATAAAAACTACGGGACTGGTCCACGGTTCATTGTCTAACATTTCATTCGCCATTTTACCCATCACATATTTTACCATTAATAAATAATGTTTTCTCTTTCACGTTAACTATTCCATCGTATTTTTCAAGAAAATCCAAACCAAGAATGAATTGCGACCCGATAGAGCCTACTACACAACTATGGAAATAACTTTCCCCATAAATTTCGAGTTTGAGTTTTACTTTACCCAAAACATCCAACGCACCCCCGTTAGCGGCACGAAACGTATGAGGCACGTGTTCTAATTCAGGTCGTATTGTTGCGTCTCGACTATTTTAATTAAAGACTTTTTAAGGGTTTGTTCCAGCCTAGCACTTCAATCGGAAGAACTAACAAACTCGGGTGTAGATAAAAATAAACATCTTTATTTGGATCAATTTATAATTGAGATACATCGCATTAAGGGGAGATAATTTGGGTGAGACGCCAATCCTTTTGATAAGTTCCCAGGTATGGAAACAGGAATTAGGTAAATAATTGCATTTGCCCTGTCAGGGTCAGGCCAGTGGATATGACAGGATTAAATCGGAGATTTGGTGACATAAGGAATTGGTAAGACTTGGGGGAATGGGTGAACCACAACTATCTAGGCCTATCTTGGATCAAGCCAGTCAAGGTTAAACCAACCTATGAGTCTTTAAATAGGAGACCAATTATGGATAAACTACCACAGCCGAAGCTAGGATATTAATTTCTTACCCATTTTTGGTGATCCATATCCAATTTCCAAAAATAGCTGGATTGCTGCCAATTATGTAAGGAGCTTTCCCGAGTGCACCGAGTGACCACTGAGGATTTCCTTGTCGTCTGCTTCTATTTATAAGGGGATTCCGATGACGTCAGTTGTCGACCAATCAATGCGAGCGTTACTAACAATGACGACGTTATAGCCTTGACCGCGCCAAAGTGTCATGGCCGCCGGTTGTTTGATGTCGCTTGTTTCGCTAACTGATTTGTGTCAATTCATCGGCCTAACGGAAAAATAATAAATTATATTGTGATACATGGTAATGTATGACATCGTTATATAAATGTGTTTCGGGCGTGAACTCTACAAGGGAGCTGGTCTCATTGTTTGACACTCTCAATCGGAAACGACGAGCGAAAGACTGGAATCGCCTGGACCGTAACATTGCCCCCTTCCTCGGAGAAGTTCGTCCCGAACGCTAATACGATTATCCAACACACACTGACTCTGACGTGATTGACTTTGCCAATGTTATCTTCCATGTGATGACTGGAATTAAGGAAAGAACAACTCACTTCTGCAGTGGTAAACGTGGATATTATTGCCACAAGATTAATTTTATTTAAATAGGCCTACAGGTGAGTGGCTCAATATAACATTATATTATAAACATTAATATTAATATATGGGTTAATAATATTGAGTAAAAAATAGTATATACAATTTCATATGTTAAACATGTTGAAAATTACATTAAGTTAATTACAAGTAGTCTGGATATATTTTAATAATGATAAAAATTCGCAATAATGATAAGAACATTTGTAATATTATAATATTGGAATTAACATAATATTTTAATAACATCGATAATACTTAATACTAATTAATACTCGCTTAGTTTTTCTTTGGTGAATTCTAACAGGGCATCTTATTCCTAAAATTTTGCTTCCTGCATAATAGCAGCGAGTTTCAGACTTTGGACGGGCAACAAGTGTATAAAAGATATGGGTGAATTTAAATTCCTAAGATATTCTAAGACAATGGGGAAATATTCAGGGCTACGGTCTAAAAAATAGTATCTGTAGTTGTCATCTTGCCGGTAAGGTTGGAAAGGTGAATCAGGGGTTATCATTTTCACTAGAATGCAATATGGGTCTTTACTTATAATAAGTTCACTGGTATAAAAACAGGTACCACCAACATTTAATACAATGCGGTGGTCCTGGGCAGCTTGAAATGATTTAAGTTTCAATGTTACTCTATCAGTTGGGATATAAGTAGGAGGGTGGAGTTCAGCTACCTCGCTACTGTGTGGGTGTAAGGAAACAGTCACAGGGATGGCTACGTTACTTATACTATTATTATTATTATTATTATTTGATTTTGATACAGATGACGATGATGATGATGATGATGATGATGACGATACGGATGAGAGATGAAGGTTTTGAATAATGGAAACTGGTGTCTTCTCTGATGAAACTGGTGTCTTCTCTGATGAAACTGGGGTCTTCTCTGATGAAACTGGGGTCTTCTCCGATGAAACTGGTGTCTTCTCTGATGAAACTGGTGTCTTCTCTGATGAAACTGATGTCTTCTCCAATGTAGCGGGTATCTTCTCAAATGTAACCTTTGGTACTGCTGGGACTGGTAATTTTGTTTTTCGATTGGTATAATACTTGTTTGAATGAGCGGGTGGGGCTGGCTGGTCAATGGCTATTTTTGGATGCTTTGACCCATTATACGGCTTTTCTGGCAACGTACGTTTTCGGCAAGGGGCTTGTAGTTGTTTGTCTGTAGGCAGGGATCTTTGGGTGACAATCAAGGCCCTTCTCCTTCCGCAGAAGGTTTTAAATTCTTCCTCATCATTTTGATTAAAGGTCATGGTTGTCTTGTTTATAACGTTCATTCTGGCTGTTCCAGGGCATCTTGGGTGTCTTATATCAGATCTAGCTGCCAGTCCTAAGCAGTGGGAGCATTGGTAACTATAGTTGCTATGGCAAGAGGTTACGTGTCTTTCTGCATATTGGTATTTTGCGAATTCTGCATTAACACACAGTTTGCACCCATAACGAATGTTCTGTAAATAAATGTATACAGAGATTTGATATTTGATAACATCTGTAACCAATTGGGTATGTTATTTCCAGTATAAGGTTTCAGATGATTATGGTGGACCACTTTAGGTTGGGTCTTTCGGGATTTTTGTATCTTATAGACTACATCATTAAGACATTTTGTCACTAGGTAGGGACCCCTTCCATGGACACCTTAATTTTGAACCTCCACCTTTGTATTTGTGGTTATAATACCATACAGGACTGCCGACCTTGTAAGGATTCAATTGAATAGATCTATCGTGATCAACTTTCATGTTTGCTGTGGCTTGTTTTAAACGCCCTCTAGCAAAACTATGTATGCGTTCTATTTTATTTTGTAAGTCAAAGGCATAGTCTGACTTTATTTTTAAATTTGTAGGTTCCACTGATCCAAGAATGAGATCTACTGGAAGACGGATGTTGCGGCCGAAAACCATTTCACATGGAGAAACACCCAGTGATTCGTGTTCTGCAGAAAGATACGCTGACATGAGTAAGTATATGTGATCATCCCAATCATTTTTATTATTATTTACAAATGCTGACAACATGGAACTTATGGTACGATTGGCCCTCTCAACCATTCCATCGGATTGGGGTCTATAGGGGGTGGTTCGAGTTTTCTCGATATCTAAAATTTTACACATTTCTTGGAACACCTCAGACTCATAGCTTGGCCCTTGATCGGAATGGATTTGCATGGGGGTATCAAAAATTGTTACAATTCGGTCAATAAAGGTTTGGGCTATTGTTATAGCTCTTTGATCAGGTATTGGCATGGCCTCAACCCATTTAGAGAAATAATCGGCTGCTACTAGTAGGTATTTATTTCCATGCTTTGTTTCCGGTAATGGACCCAGGACATCTATAGCCCATCTTTCCATAGGTAAACCCACGTTGTAGGTTTTTAAAGGCCCTTTGGCTACTTTGGCAGGGGATTTACGAGAGGCACAAATATCACAAGTTGAAGACCATTTCCTTATGTCATCATGCATTTGATACCAAAAGTATCGGTTTTTGATCTTAGATAATGTTTTTTATAGCCTAAATGACCCCTTGTTATGTGTTCATGGAGTTGGGACCAGGATAGGAGGGAGGATAATTAGGATGGCTGGATCTTGCCCTTTACCCCTATCCCAGGTATAACATAACCGATCTTGATCAATTAATAGGGATTCGAACCGCATCCAATAGTATTTGGTGCGCTGACCTCTGTCTGATATGTTTGACCAGGGAGGTTTATAGTTATGCTTAACCCACTGGATTATTTCATTGAGTGTAGGGTCTCCCAACTGTAGGTTGATTATTAATTTGTCGTCATATATATTTATTTCTTTATTTATATTTTCAGGAAGGGAAGAGGAAGATAATGGATTTTTGTTTAATTGGTCTATTGGAGCACTTGTGCAAGCCAAGACATTAAGGTTTTTAGTGGAGGTATGTAGATCTTCAAGAATACTATTCTCATATCTCTGTTCCGCCTTTGTACAGTGGAGACAATCCACTATGCATGGTCGTCGAGATAATGCATCTGCATTATTATGTACTCGTCCTGCCCTGTACTCAATGGTAAATTGGTAGGAAGACAGGAACTCAAACCATCTAGCAAGTTGTCCTTCTGGATTTTTAAAATTTATAAGCCATGTTAGTGCACCGTGGTCACTTCTGACTGTAAATGGTTGACCATAGAAATAATGGTGGAATTGTTTCACTGAGCTTATAATTGCAAGTAATTCTCTTCTGGTTACACAATATTAACTCTCAGTTCTACTAAAAGCCTTGCTATAGTAACTTATCACTCTTTCTACACCATCTTGTGTTTGTGAGAGCACAGCACCTAAACCATTATTGGATGCGTCATTGTCCAAAATAAAATGTCCTTCTAATTTAGGGAATGCAAGTATAGGCGGACTGGTTAAAGCTTCTTTGAGGTTGTCGAAGGCAGATTGGCATTCATCGGACCATTGGAATTTTGTCCTTATCTCTGTTAGTTTATGAAGGGGTTTAGCGATATCTGCAAACTTATTGACAAATTTCCTGTAATATGAACATAGCCCAAGGAATTGTCTGACCTCTTTAACATTTTGAGGAATTGGCCAATTGCGTACTGCGATGGTTTTACATGAATCAGTGGCAATTCCATCCTGATTAATTATATGACCCAAGAATGATACTTGTTTTTTAAACATAAAACATTTCTTTGGATTCATTTTCAGGTTTGCTTGTTGGAGCCTCTGGAAGACTTTTTCTAAGTTGGTTAAGTGTTCATCAAAGGATTTTGCAAAGATAATGATATCATCCAGGTACACCATACATATTTCCCATGATAAGTTAGCTAAGACCTTCTCCATCAGTCTTTCGAACGTGGCCGGCGCGTTGCACAATCCGAATGCCATGTTTTTGAACTGCCACAGTCCACATCCGGGTACAGAAATGATCAAAATGATCAAAAAAAACGACTTGATTTAAAGTATGGGCCTATCTTGTTCAGCAATCTTGACTTGCCAATATCCTGATCTCAAGTCAATCGTTGAGAACCAAGAGAAACCAGACAAGGCATCAAGAGTAGTGTCAATCCGAGGTAATGGATGACTATTTTTTATGGTGACATCATTTAGACGTCTGTAATCAATACAGAACCGTAGTGTATTGTCTTTCTTTTTAACTAAAACGACAGGAGAACACCAAGGACTATCAGATTTTTCTATTATATTTTTCTGTGCCATGCTTTCTATTTCCAATTCAACCTCTTTTCTGCTTGCCAGGGGACGCGACGAGGATGTTGACGAATTGGTGGAGCACAACCAGTATTAATCCAATGCTCAGCTTCATTGGTGATGCCTATATCAGATGAATCTTTGGAAAAGGTATGTTTGTATTTTAACAGTAGGGATTTGAATGAACGTCACTCGTTCTCAGTTAATTCATCTATTGAATTATTATAAACTTCCATCAAATAATCAGGAAGGATGTCTGAATCCAATGCAGGAGATTGATTAGTGTCTATTTCATTAATGGGAATATTACTTTTCATTTCTGAGACCAGCTGAACTGTGTCAATACGGGCAATAATTGTGTTTTTACGGACTCTTATGTCTGTGTTGGTAGCGTTCATTAAACGTACGGGCACAGACCCCGAGCTAGGGTTAACAACACTTTTTCCATTAACAGTTCTGTCTTTTCCAGAAAATTCTGAGTGGGTTCGACAATTGCGACACCACTTCTAGGTATCGGATCCATTAAGATCCCAAAGACAAAAGTCTCACTATTAGCGGGTATAGTAATATCCTGATTCATGCAAATCCTACTGCAAGTTTGCTCCATAGAATTTTGAAATCTATAGCATGGTAGATCATCTCCTTTAATATTTAGGCAATTCCTGTCGAGAAATATATTTATTGAATTGGAAGTAAGTAGGTCAATGCCAATAATTCCTTGCTGTGTAATATCAGCTATTAAAAACTCATGTTTTATCCTATGAGTACCAAGGGTAATATCGATCCAGCATTTACCATGGAAAGGTTTCTTTTCGCCAGTGGCTGTTACCAGGTTAAGATTAACAGGCTTTATATTTAATTCATCCAAAGCCCCTAATGTTTTCATAAATTGCATACTAAGTATAGACACATTAGTTCCACTGTCTACAAGTAAGGACATAAATTTCCCCATTATATTAGCATTAACAAAAAATCCATGTTTATCATCATTAATATTACTTATTGTTACATTATTGGGCCCTTTGTTATTTTCAATTTCTGCTGAATTCTGACTCTCGAGTTCAGCAACATTTAGTTTTCCTGGTTTTGGAGATCCCTTTCCCTCTGTAAATGGGGATTATTGATTGTCTCCCTTGGTTTGGATCGTGACTCATCATCGGGGTTTTGATGATTAGGTTGATTCCAATTATATGGTGGACGAGACCATCCATTTCTTGTGTTTGTCATCTGTTGGGGTCTATCTGTTCTCGTATTGGAGTTATATTGATATCCGCCATAATTATTATTAGAGTTTGTATATTGTTGGTTGTTTGGCCAATGACTCAGACTGTAATTGGGATTTTTATTCCAGGAGCTACGTGATGATTGCTGCAATGGTTGTCCCTTATTTAGGGTATTTATCAAGTGTTTGGTAGTTTTATCCAAAGATGTGATTGAACTATTCAAGGTAAGTATATCAATTTTGCTTTGACCCATATCATCAGATTTTATAGCTCCAGCTCCGACCTGGTTTATATTATGATTTAGATCTACAGAATGAACTGAACGTCCTCTTTTTTTATCTGCCAGTCTGTGGGCTTCGAGTCTAATAGAATGTATCTCAGCCTCATTGATATCCTTGGGTCTTAGTTCCCTAATTCGTAATCTCATTTCTGAGTCTGGTATGGAGTCTATAAAATGTTCTAAGGCTAAAATATTGGTGAGAGATGCCTCTGCCGTGGGGTAGGCCTGTCTCGTTAGTTTGCGGATGGATTGAGCCAACTCAGATAAGGATTCGTTCCTTCCTCTAATACGAGTTTGTAATTTTGCTCTATATATTTCAGATTTTTCCGTTGATCCAAAACGAATACTTAGGAGGGTTGTGAGGGTATGGAAATCCGTTCTCTGGATAGTATTTAATTCTGACAAGATTGTCCTGGCGTTTCCAGACAAACTACTGGCTAGGTAAAGGGATTTTTCTTCATAGCTCCACTTGTTCATTGTGGCTATTATATCAAATTGGGAGATATATTCCTCAAAATCTTCACTTCCATCATATGATTGTGGTTTGATTCTAAGGGGGTTATTAATTCTAGGACTGGTGGGAACATATGCTTGGATTGAGGTACGATTAGAATTTTGATTATGGCTTGGTGTGTTTCTGTTTTGAGCATCTCCATTTCCATTTGAGTAAAATGTGGCAGGATTTGGATCATTTACTTTTTCATCCAATTTATTAACATGGTCTTTTAGTAATCTAACATCCTCCCTTAATTCCTTTAAATTGTCTAAAAAATCATTTTGAACCTGAGCATTTTCCAGGAAGAATTGATTAAATTGTCGGCTAATTTCTTTAAGAATTCCATCGTCACCCATATTCTGATTTTCTATTTCAGTTCCTGAGACATCACCATCAACTGATTCTACCGAGGGCGCCGAGGCCATATCCGGATCAGTGTCTGGGATAATTTCGAACTCTTGGGACAAGGATTTGGTGGCCATTTTCTAATTGTATTATTGTCCCCCGCCTTTCGAAGAAAGCAGGGGACTATTAAAATGGGTCTGTCTGTCCGTCCGTCTGTCCGTCACACTTTTTGGGACACAATAACTCTCCTCCTAATTGACCTAGAATGTTCAAACTTGGTGTAGGTGTTTATTAGGTCAATGCCTTGATGGAGTTCGAAGATGAGCATTTTCGGCTTAGGGTAAGCAGAGATAAGCAATTTAAATGGTTGATGCTTTGGGACACGATAACTTTAGTTCTAATTAAGTGAGAAAGATGAAACTTGGTGGATAGTTTCATTACATCAATACCTTGACTAAGTTCGATAATGAGCATTTTCTGCTCAGGGTA